GGGCGGCGTTTTTTTGCGGAGTGATGCCGCAGGGTCACCTTCGACCCAACGGCGTTCATTGATTTTTAACACAGGGTCGGCCGCCTTTCCCGCCGGATGCATCATTTTCATAAAAGTTACAAAAAGTTATAAAAAGGTTGGATGATCGGATAGTAAGCGTGCCCAGAAATAGCGCAGAATGTCCGGCAATAACGCAAAACGGCTCTGTCATGATGTGATGGAGACCTTTCTGGATTCAGGACAGGAATGCATGGCGGTAGATGGCCTGGAGCTGGACCGCCAGTGTCAACGTAAGATCAGTTTTAGACATTGGGAGACTTTCGATGTGCAGCGGCGCCTCGGGCTGGGACGGATTTCCCCTACGGAGCACAATGTCGCATGCTGGCAAGCAGTGTCTTTCTCGGTCGCAGGATTTCCTCCGCCGATTCAACTTGATGCGGAGAGACGCCAACCCCGAGGACGAGCTCGAAAAAGAGGCCTGAGAAAACTTGTGTGTTTGTTTGCTTGCTTGCTTGCTTGTTTGTTTGTTTGCTTGCTTGATTGTTTGCTTGTTTGTGTGTTTGTTTTGTTTGTTTTGTTTGGATTGCCTGTTTTGTTTGTTTTGTTTATTTTGTTTATTTTGTTTGTCTGTTTATGTTTTTTGCTTGTTTTGCTTGTTTTGCTGTTTTGTTTGTTTTGTTTGTCTTGTTTGTCTTGTTTGTTTTTTTTGTGTGTTTTTTTTTTTTTTTATTTGTATTGTTTGTCTTGTTTGTCTTGTTTGTCTTGATTGTATTGTTTGTCTTGTTTGTCTTGCTTGTCTTGCTTGTCTTGCTTGTCTTGTTTGTCTTGTTTGTCTTGTTTGTCTTGCTTGTCTTGTTTGTCTTGTTTGTTTTGTTTGTTTTGCTTGTTTTGCTTGTTTTGCTTGTCTTTGTTTGTTTTGGTTTTTTTTGGTTTTTGTTTGTTTGTTTTGTTTGTTTTGTTTTGTTTGTTTGCTTGTTCTTGTGTGTGTGTTTTTTGTGTTTGTGTCTGAATTTGTGTTTGCATATGCGTTTGTGTTTGAATTTGTATATATGTGTGTTTTTGTGTGTGAAATTTTGTGTTTGTGCTTGAATTTGTGTTCGTGTTTGTGCTTGTGTTTGCTTCTGTTTGTGTATGTTTGTGTTGTGCTTGTGCCTGTGCCTGTGTTTGTGTCCGTGTTTGTGTTTGCATGTTTGTGTGTTTGTTTGGTTGGTGCGTATGTGTGGACGAAGTGACGGATGCGAAGAACGAACCAAGTCAGGCCGTGCAGAAGGTGCTGTCGTCCGTCAAAGATTGCCAACATCAGCGGAAGCAAAAGGATCACGAGCTACACCCTCAAGTTCATGCGCGACTGCTAAGCTGCTCAATTCTGTCTCGCTGCAAGCTCGCATAAGCTCACCAGAGGTCCTTTCCTCCACTTTTCGTTCCCGGGCAGGCCCCACTTGCGTGGTACAGCAGTTCCGCAACCCTTGCATGGTACAGCAGTTCCACAACACATGCGGTGGTCGTAGCATTTCTGACGTCAGAGGTATATTGGATCGAATGGCTGGGTCAGGATGGAAGTGTTCAGGACAAGTTGCCAGAGCAACGCTGCACAGTGTGGCACGTCAGCGATTGCAACGCCCAGGACTCGCCAACCGAAGCAAATGCCCCGGAGAGAATGCCGAGGAGCTGTTCCCGTCCATGTTCAACTGTTTAAAGTTTGCGCAAGAGGCACCGGAAGCCACTTTGCCTGGCAATCTTGGCTCGGCCTCAAAATCTACCAAGTAGGAGAGTTCCTGGCACAGAACTGCACGACGATTTGTTACGATCATTTTCCTGCCGTACACTCCTTGATAGCTACACTCCTTGATGGCCCAGTCCGTGGTTTGGTCTTGTCGCTCAGTCTCAGATTGGACAGGATACACTTGACCTCCGCCACGGAGTTCCAGTGGATGGGCATGTTGGTAAAGCTTCGAGCAGTGAGCAAGGTATCGCGGGACATCTTGTGCACGTGTTGGCGGTGGGCCAGGTCCTTGCTGCTGCGTGGTGGCACCAATGCTTTGAAAGATCACCTGCGTGAACCTCGGACTTGTCGAACGACATCGCTTGACGTCGCTTCATGTCGCGAAAGTTCTGAGACGATTGTAGATTCGTTTGGTTTATTTGGTTCGGCGAATCGGCAGGTGTGGAAATTACAAAGAAGGCTTGGAGAAGTACAAAGTTCATTTAAAGGCTGGACAGACATGACGGACAAGTCCACCACAGCTCTGCGGGGGCTCTTTGTGCCCAGCTTGGTGCAGGCAAACGATGGCTGCTGGTGCGTCGTCAGTTGATGCGCAAAGTTTTCCTTGTTGCGCCCTCGCCTCTGATCCTTTCCTCTGGTGCAAAGCCACTGAACAGAACATCTTGCTGTAAAGACGAAGCCTGCAGTATTCAATTCATCCTGCTGGAATGGCTAGTGGCCCCCTAGTCATTTGTGTTTTTTTGTGTACTTTGTTTTTTTCGTTTAGGGCTTCCTAGTACACAACAGGCAGAGGAAATGGAGGTTTGCCTATGAACAAATGGAGGATATAGAGGTTTTCATGCACAGGGCATGGCAGTTTTCCGACTGCACCACAGAGGAAATTGGGGTTTTCCCAGTAAATCTATGTCCTCCAAATTTCATAGCAAACCTCCATTTCCTCCAAAGCCGCTGTTTCCTGTGAATTTCAATGGGAAAACCTTTATTTCCTCTATGTTCTAATGCGAAAGCTTCGATTTCCCCGATGTTTTTATTTCAAGACCTCTCTTTCCTTTGTATTTCAATGGGAAAGCCTCCGCTGCACTTTCAGAGGAAGACCTTTATTTCCGCTGCACACATTTTACTAGGAAACCCTAGACCAGACAAAAAGAGATGTAAAAAAGAGAGGTCCAAAATAAATCTTCGGTCATTGCGAGTCCATGTCGCGTAATGGTAAGCCAAAGCTGTGCAGACCCAGCCATGCATGTTATGTTGCTGATTAGCTTGATTTGGCTGAAGTGACATGGCATGGTGACGAGGCTATTTAACACTTTGCAAAAAGCGTGCCAGCTTCTCGCAGCCCGTGGTACACATGGCATCACAACTTCGCATTACAACTGCATACACTCGTCTCCCTGACGAATGCAAGCACAGGCTTCATGCATACATCCAGGCGGGTTACTCGCATGCAGCACGAGCAGCCATGTCTCCCGCGTCGAGGCAGAGTGGCGATAGAGTAACCATGGCAGCTTGATCAGAGTGCAAACGATGTCCTCGCCCTCCTGTCGTCACTGTAGTCGCAGGCCGACCGATGGATCGAAATCAGTCCAAGTCACCAAACTGAGCAATCAGTCTGCTGCTCAGTCTCGGCAGCTGTCCAAAGCATATTTCCAGCGCCAAAAGTCCAAACGTCTGTCGCTGCACGGCTCAAAAATCTCTCTCTTGCAGGATATCGCGACATTTTAAGCAGTGCGGCCTACGCAAGGCACAGCTTTCCAATCAACATGTAGAGCCTTGGTGCATCGAGCGTGGCCAGGCAGAGTTCAAGAGGCAGAAGTCTCTCCTCATCGAAAAAGAATTACAGGTTCTCTCTCGCAATGCTTTCATTGATCTCTGAGTTGATCCAAGTGTGCTTTTTGATGCTTTTGTTCTGTGCAGGCACACTTCAAGGCGAAGCATGAGACTGAGAGAGCAGAGGCACAGGACGAATCCGATGTCAAAATGAACAATCAGTTTTAAGTACAAGTGCTGTACATTGAGCTACAATGCGGCACTGGTACAGTACGAAATCATCCGGAAGTATGTCAGATGTCATGGTGGACTTTGCGAGTTGAGTTCCTGTTTCTGTGTCTTTCCTGGCGACCGCCCGACATTCTGTGACGGCCAGGGCCCGGAAAGACCAGTCCCGGGCTTGGCAGTTTCAATGCAAAACGCAAGGTTTCTTCTTCCAGTCAAGAGCCCAAGCCCATGCAAATGTAGTGCGCATGCAATGTCCCGGACGTTTAGAGCGCAGCAGAAGACAGCAGCAGCCGTGTCGGCCGCACCAGCGCAGGCATCAAGTCCAGGCGCAAGCCCGACCAGCAAAGCCAAGGGTCAGCCGCGAACTTGTGAGACGAGAATGAATCATGTTCACTGGTATCGCTGATGCAGTCATGGTGGCATGTGGTTTTGCAGTTTGCATGGGGCTTTTGCAGCATCTTAGCCCCATTACTATCAACTAAAGGAAGGAAAATTATAAAAAAACCCTTCAACCACAGTATCTCGGGCCGAGACTTGGGGGTTGTACTGTGTTTAAGAGATTGACAAAGAATGATGATGATGTATTCAGTAAAGAGACATCACGCATACATTTCTTTTTGCGAACCTTCCGCACCCGATCATCGGTGTTTCTGTCCCTCGTTTCAATCGTTCTTAATTTCAGTTTTCTTCCCGAGGATTCTGTCGAGGTAGGTTGGACTTAGATTAGTATCTGGAGCCCTTAGGCAGATGCTATGCTATGTTCCGGATGCGAGTGCAAGGCTCATAGAATCCAACACAGCCCAAGCCGAAGCAATGCAAGAACAAATTGTTTTACAAGACTCATACTCTTGAAATCTAAAGTGTTCTCAAAATTGGACAATCTTTACAGTAACGACGTCACACTGCAGAATGCAGCGTTTCATGCACTTCATCCCAGGTCCTCTTCTTCGGCCCAATTGCAGGCGGAGAATTCTGCATACAACGCGGAATCGCAGTCAAACACTCTCTCTCTCTCTCTTTCCTCTCTCTTGGAGCCCGAAATGCTAGGCCCAGCTTCCGCCTCCACCTGGCAAAGTGGCCACACGTGATCTCGGGCAAGTTTCTTTTGCAGAACTGCCTAGCTTGATCTAACTGGTGTTTTTTTGTCGAAGAGACCTCCCAGCCGAGTTTGGCACATTTTGGCACCGTGCGCTGCATGATGCTGCATGACAGGATTTGCAGCATCATATCCAGCTTGGATGCATCCATCCATTCACCCTGGTGCTGCCAGTGAGAGGCCGCAGAGCTTGGGCTTGGGTCTGCAAAGGTGAATTAGAGTCAAGTAATGAGGCCCGACTGCCTTAAGTTCCAAGTTTCATTCAGCCCGTGGCTTTCAGAGCATGTTCAAAGGATTTACCTGACATGCCAGGCCTGCCTCGCAGGGCTCGCGGATTCGGAATGTGCCACTTTCACGGAATACGGTGCCACTCGCCTCTGACAACGACTTCCAGGCAGGTCCGCTACCGTCCACCATCCGCCTGAGACTTAAGCAAATCTCGTGGATGTGTTGCCTGAAAAACACGGACAGGCAGCAACAGTTGAGCTAGATTCCTGCGATCCCAGCGGCCAGAGCCCTGGGAAGTATCACCCTGACGCGGTCTCGCATGCTGTGAATTGCTGTGACATCTCCGGGAGCTCTTAGAGTGCCTTTGCACGACTCGAGCCTCGAAGGAGAAAGAGGGGACAGGGCCGATTTCGGCCTTAGTTCTACCACGTCTTCACTTGCGGTTTCCAAAGCCAGGCAAGCTTCTTAGCACATGCAGTTGCCTGTAGCGTGTTTAGGATGTGGTTACAACCTACAATGCTGCTGCACGTGCAAAGTCCAATAGTTCAAGCACTGTTCAAACTTTTCAAGCTAGCTGCAATCAGCTACACTGAGGCGGTTTTCCCCGAAGAAGGCGCAAGGAACGCTGTTTTTTGCAGGCGCGGGTGATCAAAGTTTGCCAGAACCATCCTCGCATCAGCAGTGCCCATGCTGAGCAATCTATGAGATAGCAGAGTTGTCAGCTCGAATCGAAGTCCTATCCCAGTGGTTCCGAACCCTCTTGACACTTGACCCGAGGTTCGAGCTTGAAGGTTGAGATTATCGGTTTGGTGTAAGATTGCATGGTAGATTTCAATCGCAACCCTCGCTGCGCACGATCCTCGTCAAGTGACAGCAGACTCTAGTCGGTTCAACAGTCAACGTTGCCGTAGGCCGACACAGGCTTGCTCCTGCTCAGAGCATAAGGGGACTAAGGGGACCTCTTAGACTCCTACATTCTGTCCGGGAGTGCGGTATGCGAGTCTTGTGGGTGCGCATGCAGAGTGTGGCAGAGCATTCGTGGGGGAGGTCAGCCCGAGACTGCCGAGACAGAGGAAGATCGCTTGTTTGCCATGAACAGCCGCGAGGCACACGGCACAATCCGAGCAGTCATGTAATGTAATTTCAGTGTTCCCACCCCACCCCACCTGTAGGCTGCGTCAACAAAAGCAGATGGGAAGTGTTAGTCAAGAATTGTCGTGGACAAGCTTCCACGCACGACGGCCTTCCATGCTAGCACAACGTATTTAGCAACGTATTTAGCAACGCATGCTTCGGCCCATAAAGGATGTTGTTGTACTTCGAAGATGATTAGCAAATTAGGCTACGGGACAAGCTCGGAGAACAGTGTTACTGCAGCATTGCCTGTGCCAGGAAGAGCTTTTCCAAGCTGCAGAAGCAGAAGCTGCTGCCTTGAAAGCAAGCTGGGAGACAGGCTTTCAATTTCGCTTAACAAGTCAGTGAGGTGCTTGAGTGGCTTGTGCGAGATTCTCTGCCCAGATGGCTTGCGCAGGTATGAAGCAACGTGACCCGTCTCAGCCTCGTGGCTTCATGCGCTCGTATTGTGGTTTCTTTGTTGACGCTGCAGAGGCCAGACATGATCGAGCGCTTGGGCGACCTGATGGTGCTCTTGGGACCCAGGCAGCGAGGGCAACGGGAGGCGACATGTGGAGGCAACTCTCATGTGTTTCGGCGTGGTGTGCCACTGCGCTTGTTTTGGCCCAACCATTCCTGTTTTTATAACTTGTGCCCTCAGACAAGCGAAGCATGCGAAACCTTCACGTCGTTTGGATGGGACATGATGGGACTTGAGGCTTTTGAGGCTCAGTCGTTTTTGAGTGAAATGAGGTATCGTACCTTGCCGCGTGAAGCCGTCTGGGAAAAAGCCGTTGCTCTGGGCTTGGCTCGGCTTAGTCACACCTTCTACTTGGTAACAGATCACTTAAACCATTCACACGAGCAATGCGTGATATAGCCATGTGCCGATGTGCGCAGAAGCTGACTTTCCCAAGGTTGGGGGCATGACGGCGATACAAAGGCGTGAAAAGCGCCTTGGACGTTGCAAGCTCAGGAGTCATCTCAAGTACTGTTGCACAACGATTAAAAGGCATTGTCGAGTGAACTATTTTAAGTCTTGTCGCTACGCTGCTCGGCTTGGCCGGGGCCCAGGGCTGAGCCTCCCCAGGGGAATCCAGAGGACAACCCGAGCACGAGCTAGGCATCACCGCATCTAGAGTCTCAACTGCCAAGAA